TGTCACCCATGCCATCGGCCTCGGACTCGCTGTCATTCTCAGGGTCATTTTCGGTGCCTTGCATAGTCACATCTCCGTAATCCACGGTGTCGGCTTCTTCATAACCGTGGGTCATCTTCGTCTTCTGCTTCTTCAATCTCTCAGACTTGCCGGTGGTCGGGGTCTCATCGGAGGAACGGCGCTTGTCACCGGTGTGTGAACCCATGCTCACGGTTGGGGCCGGTCTGGGATCTGTCGCGGTTGCGGAGCGGTTGCTGCCTCGGATGTAATGGTGAAATTCAGGTCTACAATGCGCGTAAAGGGTTAGTGAGAATGAGCTGGGATGGCAACGCTTGAGATTTATATAAGTATTTTACCCACTGAGCTCTCTGCTTATATGAAAGCTGGTGCGGGATATTGGCCGATGTGCACGCTTTTATAAAAGTCAGCGCGCGGAAATTGATCGTGATGAGAAAAGATGTCTGGGGAGGATTGGGCGTAGCTTACACCAGAGGAAAAAGAGGCCTTTTATAAGTGCCGTACACAGCCGATTTTCTACGATGCCGGATTCCAAGTCTGAGATGCAAGGAGGCCTTCCCACCAAACCACCAGACAGTAACAATACCAGGAAACCTCTGATTTAGATATCTCTCATGTTTAGTATAACATTGCAGGACATTTGGTGTAAGAACACGTCTGATGCGGAGAACATTATGTGCGATCCTCAATGCTGTGGCTAAACTTATAGGCCGGTGCTGACCACTTGGGCCATGTCCTGCAACGGCATCAAACGCATCAGGTAATGCACCTCATGCATCGAGGCAACCAGAGTCTCGAAGACATCAACGCCCGTGGGCTGAAATGTTCAAGATGTGGTGGAAAACTCTAGTGAAAACTTGACAGTTTGTCGGGCCCGGGATTTCCGAATCACCTCACTCGGCATGTGGGGGCCGGCCGTCGTAACGGCCCCTCCCGTCGCCGTGTCCCGTTCCTTTCCTTCAACCTGCAACGGCGTTGAAGGCGTTATGTAATGCAACTTACACATCAGGAGGAGGACCAGAGACCCGGAGCAATCTATTACCTCACGGCTTACCCTGGTCGAGTCCGGTTCCACGAAGAAGGAAACCCACGTCCGTCCGGCCCCACGGCCGACCAAAGTCCCATTTCGTGAATCATCAAAAGACCAGAGACGCGGCGGTCGGACAGATTATGAGCCGCAAGCGATTCATCGGCCGAACGCACGGTGTGAGTCAACTTTGGCACTTGCGTACAACACCTGCAAGTGCAAGGATCGCCGTGACTCTCGGAGCCGTCTACGGGCCTTTGGTCTACGGGCCTCTGAACTCTGCAAGAATGGGTTCAGCCGCAGCCAGGTGTTTGCGGTGTTGGTCGGCGCCCGCTAGGGAGTAGCGCCCCAAGGAGACGGGAGATGAACAGAGGTCTGAGCGGTTTGCTGGATTCACGCTTGGAGTCTTGACGTCGTAAATCCAAAAAGAGGCTTTTGGCTTATGAAATCAAAGTGCGAGGGCCGAAGACGTCGGCGCAGAAGTAGGCCAATCACGGGCGCTTGTTGCGGTGGATGACCCACCCCGCGTAAGTCGGACAAGTTTTCCCTCCGACCACCGAGATGGACCGACCGACTCGCCTGGAATTCCTGGAATTCGTCTGGATTTTCCGGTCTTTAGATTTCTTAGATCCATCATCCATGGTCTAGCACTCTTGATCCACTGCCACATGGAGTCTACTGCAGCCGTCGTAAACCGTAAAATAAGGTAGGGAGGATACCTCCTACCAGGACTTTGTGCTCGGAGTGACCCCTGCCCCTGGCCCGATATCCCTCCGCCCTCCGGCACTGACACACACTCTCACACGCGATTGAAGCTCACGTAACTATGGTGACGAAGGACGTTCCTCCTTCGGACATTTTCTTCTTTTTTGCCAATTTCGATGACAACAATTTGCAGCGTGCCTAGACCGAGTGACTCGTTTCCCCAATTCTTCCCCCTCCCCATCCCACCCATTCGAACGCAGACAAGCTCACGCTAAGGTATCCCACCTACCTTGCTTTACCTTACTTGCTTACCTATGTATGTACCACAGTATGGACCAAAGGTATGGAGCACACAAAGAAAAGATACCCTGCCTTGCTAGGTACCTTGTGTATTGACCAGGGGGAAAAGCTTGGGCGTTTGGCTGGGCCATCCCTGGGGCATACGAGTGTTCAAATCGGGTTTGGGGTCTGCGATGGTGCAGTCTTACCCGATGGGATGCTGCAGCTGGGAAATTTCACGATCTCAGATGTCATTCAGAATGAATTACTAGTGTACCTACCTTACCTCGCAAGCGCGAGCATCAGCGCGCCTCATCGGATGGATACATAAAACCTGCCCTGCCTGCCGCACACCTTTTCACATGTGTCTCGTGCCTCTCCTGCAGTATCCAGGGTCCTTCCTTTTCTTTCTTCCCACACCCTCAGGTTTGTAAAAGAATAATATTCAGGTCTTCCCTACCTCCACTCTACAGCTACGAAGAACACACACACCACCGGTTGAGCCAGCATATAAACTAAGTCTGCCTTGGAGCAAAACAACAACAATAATAAAAGTTCTCATCACGACCTACACCATCGCCATGGGCTCCAAACACCCCGACGAGAAGCTCGGTGACACCACCTCAGCCGATCCCTCGATCTCCACCGAGAAGCACCACGTCCACGATGACCCCAATATGCCCGAGACCTACGAGAAGCAGGACCCCTCGCACACAACCGGCGACGACGACGTCGTCTACCCATCCGGCGTCAAAGTCGTCCTCATCCTAATTTCCCTCTGCCTCGCCGTCTTCCTCGTCGCCCTCGACCAAACTATCATCGCCCCGGCCCTCGGCACAATTACAGCAGAGTACGGCAGTGTCAAGGATATCGGCTGGTATGGCGCCTCCTACCTCCTGACGACGACGGCCCTGCAGCCAATGTACGGCACCATCTACAAGCTCTTCAGCATCAAATACGCCTACCTAACTGCCATCGCCATCTTTGAAATTGGCTCCCTCGTTTGCGCTCTTGCGCCAACCTCCACTGCCTTTATCGTTGGTCGCGCCATTGCTGGTATCGGCACTGCGGGTCTGTTCTCCGGATCCATCGTCATCCTCAGTTACACCATGCCTCTCGAGAAGCGACCCCTGGCATTCGGCCTTATTGGGGGCATGTGGGGTGTTGCGTCCGTTGCTGGGCCTCTGCTGGGTGGTGTATTCACCGAGAAGGCGACCTGGCGGTGGTGTTTCTACATTAACCTTCCCATCGGTGGCATCGCCATGGCCTTTATCTTCTTCCTCCTCACCATCAGCAGGAAGAACAACCCGAACGGGGACTCTCTCATGAAGCGCGTCCTCCAGCTCGACCTCATCGGAACGGCCATCTTCCTGCCCGCCATTGTCTGCCTCATTCTCGCTCTCCAGTGGGGTGGCGCCGAGTACCCCTGGAACAGCTCCAAGATTATCGGACTGTTTGTCGGGTTCGCGCTCATGATTATCGTCTTCATTGGTATTCAGCTGTGGCAGGGCGATAAGGGAACGCTGCCTCCCAAGCTTTTCAAGAACCGCAACGTCGTTTGCGCCATGCTGTTTGCCTGCTTCTTTGGAGCTGCATTCTTCCCGCTACTCTACTACCTCTGTAAGTGCTTCCCTGACTCCTACCTCTGTTCCTGCTTCCACCAAAAAAACAGTATGCTAACAGATCGCAGCTCTCTACTTCCAGGCAATCCAAGGAGTCAGCGCCGTCCAGGCCGGCATCAAGATCCTGCCTCTCCTCCTCGCAACCGTCGTCGCATCCATTGCTAGCGGCGCCCTGATCTCCATCATTGGCTACTACAGCGCCATCATCCTGCCGTCTCTGGTCCTCTTCGCCGTTGGCTCAGGCATGATCACCACCTTTGACCTCGACACGCCCATGCGCGAGTGGTTTGGATACCAGGTGCTGGCGGGCCTCGGCATCGGCGCAGGTTTCCAGATTGGTGTGCTCGTTGTTCAGACGGTCTTGCCCCAGGAGGAGGTGCCCGTCGCGACGGCCTGCGTGCAGTTCTTCCAGTCCTTTGGTGGTGCCATCATGATTGCCGTCGCCCAGACACTGTTCCAGACGGGTCTCATTGATGGAGTCACCAAGAACGCCCCGGATATCAACCCCCAGATCTTCATCAACGCCGGTGCCGACCAGGTCCGCAACATCTTGACGCAGATGGGACGTGCCGATGCCATTGATGTGGTCCTTGAGGCCTACATGGATGGGCTCAGGCACACCTTCTATGTCACTGTTGCCTGCGCGTGTGCTGCTTTCGTTGCCTGCCTAGGCCTGCAATGGAAGAGCGTCAAGAAGGAAGGCAAGGGTGGTGCTGCTGCCGTTGCTGTTTGAGAATTTCACTGTCTTGTACGATACGAAGGAAACGGTTACATGAGATTTAGAGGATACCCGGTTTAGAACCCTGCTCTACTTAGACTAGAAATTGTAATGTCGATTGTCAATATGCATGGAGCGTAAACGTCCGGACACAAGTGATATGTTCTACTGGTATGCTCTCACACGGTAACGTCAAGAGTAAGATCTGGTACTGGAAAGGATGTGGGCAGACACAGTGGACACAGTGATTCAAAAACCATAAGCCAAGGGGGAAAAAAAGATTTCCTCCACGTGGGATCGAACAAAAACCCAAACGTCGGATCAATGGTCGAGGGGACTGAGATCCACACTCGGGTCTTCCCTCATGACCCCTCGGCCATCTCACCCGAATCGCTCAGTGAAAGAAACAGAGGTGAACGATCCCAAGTATGGTACAGTGTTCTCGCCGGGTTATGTTGATATTGCTACCGTTCACGAGGTAGTAAGGGTGTTTGTACCATTCACTTTCTTCTTTGATTCGGGTAGTCGGCTCAACGCCAGCGTGTAAGTTAAAATAACCCATGCTTCAGAGCATCTTCCAATATAACAACTATTCCCTTTCCCTTCCCGAGTGCGAGGTGATTCTTATGCTTCACTGGGTATCATCAGGCAACGCATCCCACCCCCTCTTCACAGCCCCCTTCGCCGTCGTCCTCTCCTCGCCGCCACCGCCGCCAACAAACCTCATCACCCACCCCCACACCCTCCTCGTCTTGACTAACTGAGGATGCGCCGTGCTCGGTTCCCCATCCCCATCCCCTCCTCCTGCAGCGGGAGACCTCTCCAGGTCTCTCGGACGATAATACCCACCCTCATCCCCCTCCCCCAACTTCCGTCTATAAAGCACCGTCGTCCTCGTCAACCCCTTCCGCAGACTCTGGCCGTACACCTTTCCCCTAAATACATGCAGCGCCACGTTCTGCAGTAACACGACGTCTTGTCTCCTCAGGTTCGCCGGCGACGTCGGATCTGCTGTTGCGGGCTTCCCGGTGCTCTTCGCAGCTGCTAGGGGAGGCGGCGGCATAGCAGGTAACCAAAACGTGACACCGAACCCGGCGCGCGTGTCGTCCCCTAAGAGCACTTCGACCAGCGATAGTTCGTTGCCCCAGCGGGTGGTCACGCTCCGCGGGGTGGAGACGGAGATTACGCCCGCGATGAGGTTTACGGTTACGGTCTGCGGGGCGAGGCGGAGGAGGGAGGGGGCTGGGGGGATGTCTTCTAGGTCGGAGAGGTGGTGGGTTGCTGTTAGGAGGGGAGGGCGTGGGGTTGAGAGCGAGGTTGAGAGGTCTGCTGTGGTGTCTTCGAAGGAGTCTGTTGTTTCGGTTATGAAGGAGTCTGTTGCTGTTGTGTTGAAGGAGGTGTTGCCTGCGTGTCTGGAAGGGTTTTGCTGGGGTGCAGGTTGTGATGAGGATGGAGGGGGCGGGAGTTGGGAGGATGCGAGGTCGTGGTGGAGGGCTAGGGAGTGGTTGTAGAATTGCTGGGAGAGGGGGTCTTGGGAGTCCGTTGTGGTGGTGGTGTCGTTATTGATCGTTTCTTGGTGGGCGTCCCAGGAGAGAGAGAAGAAGTGTGCTGGGGGGAGGAAGTTTGTGGGGAGGCCGTGGGGTTGGGAGTAACCTGTTGTTAGGGGCTTGTGGTGTAGTGGGAGGGATCGCCAGGCGGGGAGGGCTATCGTTGTTGTGTTTGCGTTTTGAGCTGTTGGTGTTGAGGCTGGCGATGAGGTTGATGTTGATATTGATGTGGGGACGGGTGGTGCGGGTGGGCCGGAGAGGAGGAGGGAATCCGGGGATGACCAGTCGGCCTCGGGGGCGCCGGCGAAGATGATGACCTTTGGCATGCAGGGGTGTCTTTGGGCCGGCTCCGGTCCGGCGGCGGCGGGTGTGTGGGTGTTGGTGACGGGAGTGGACTCGGTGAGTGTTGGTCGGGCGAGGTGTGCAGATGAAGTGTTGCGGGGCACGAGAACCTGGCGGTGCGGCGTGCCTGGAAGATTGGAGATTGCGGGGTAGAATTGGGTCACCCAGTACTCCGTACATCCTTCAGAAAAGAGCAGAGCTGAATTCTGATGATTGCAAACTCTCGACGGGAGACACGGGAGCGAATGAATGACAGGCGGGTGACACTCACACACAAACACAAACACAGACACAACACAAGGAAGAACACTCGCACAATGGGCAACAGGGAAACTCAATTCATCTCAAATGGCGAGACTGCAGTATCTCAAACGTATGGCTGATGGTGTTAACCATTGTCAAACTTGTGTTCCCCCGAGTCGGTTGCTTCCCAGACATGGACCTGAACAGACACAGATCATTCCCTTGAATTGCTTTTCCCTCCCTCTTTTGCCAGAGATTCTCGGTTGTAAACGCCTTCAAATGCCTTGAGAGTGCTATTTACATGGATGATGTCTACGGCCTCGGGGATACGAATGAGCCGAAGTGAGGTACCGATACTTTAAATACTCAAACAGCACAGGCAGTATTGGCTAAGGTATATGGCAGGGGGCGTACCCGTACTCCGTACCGGTAACCGCTGGTACCTCGGCATCTACCAGCTCCATACAACACCCCCAGGACCCCAGACTTTCACCTCTAGACCTGGTCCCTTCGTCGCAAGTCTAGTCCCATCTTCTAACCTCGTCAATCTTGCCTTGACCAGTTGCCGATGAAGCTGTGAGACGATGACATTTTGAGACCTGGCCTAACCTTGACCTCTTTTCATCTTATTTCCCCTCAATCAACACCCTCACTCAATACACTTAACCAGGCCACACACACACTCTCTCTCTCACTCTCACTCTCACATGAACTGAGTGTATCCTGGCTGAACAACAGCAGCTCTTCACTCAGTGAAGCTCACTCAACTCATTTCATCCCACTTCAACTCAATTCAACTGAAAAGCCTCACAATGTCCTCCGTCTTCAACATCAAGGAGCACGTCCTCGACGGCTCACACATCCGCGAGTTCCCCCGCGCCCTCTCCCGCTCCCAAGACGACGTCCTCAAGCTCGCCGTAAAGGAGTACATCCCAAAGGATAACCCGAACCCCAAGCCCGGGGACGTCACAATCATTGGCGCCCACGCCAACGGCTTCCCCAAGGTTTGTCAACCTTCATTTCACTTCATCTCATGTTTTCTCACGAACACCACGCTCACTAATCACCACAGGAACTCTACGAGGCCCTCTGGCAAGACCTGCACGCCCAATCCCTCCTCCCAACCTCAACCTTCCGCATCCGCTCCATCATCATCGCAGACGCAGCCTGGCAAGGCCGCTCCTCATCCCTCAACGAACCTCTCCTCGGCAACGACCCGGGCTGGTTCGACCACCCCCGCGACCTCCTCCACCTCATCAACACCCTCCGCCCGCCCCGCCCCCTGCTCGGCGTAGGCCACTCGTTCGGCGGCAACGCGATCGCCAACGTCGCCCTCATCAACCCGCGCCTCTTCTCCGGCGTCGTCCTCTTAGACCCCGTCATTTCGAAATGGTCGTCCAATGCAAAGGGCACCATCGCCGCCTCCCCTGCGGCAGCGAGCGCTAGACGGAGGGACCTCTGGCCCTCCCGCGAGGAGGCGCGCAAAGCGTTCCTCAAGAGCCCGTTTTACCGCGGCTGGGATGAGAGGGTATTTGAAGCCTGGATGGACCACGGTCTCCGCGACGTGCCCACACAACTCTACCCCTCCACCTCCAGCACCAAAACCCCCATCACAAAAGAAAGCGTAACCCTCGCAACGACAAAACACCAAGAAGTCTTCACCTACTTCCGCCCCTCCTGGCACGCCTACGACTCCTCCGGCACACAGCTCGTCAACCCCGACCTCGTCCCGGACCTCGACCCGGCCCTCAACGAGCGCTACTACACCTTCCCCGTCTACCGCTCCGAAGGCGCCTCCACCCTGATTCGCCTCCCTCACTTGCGACCAAGCTGTCTCTACGTATTCGGTGGCGCAAGCGACCTCTCCACGCCGGAACTGCGCGACGAAAAGATGCGGTTGACGGGGACGGGCGTCGGCGGGAGCGGCGGGGTTGCGAGGGGGAGGGTGAAAGAGGTTACGCTCGAGGGCGGGGGCCATTTGTTCCCGATGGAGGTTCCGGGTGTGAGTGCAAAGTTGACGGCTGAGTGGATTGAGAAGGTGATGGGGGAGTGGAGGGTCGAGCAGGAGGAGTATGAGCGGTGGACTAAGTTGAGTGTTGAGGAGAAGACGACGCTAACGGAGGAGTGGATGGGTAAGATTGGGGGGTCGGCGAGGCCGCCCAAGGCGAAGATTTAGTAGCATGTGCTTTCACGAGCGATGAGACTTTAGAACCAAGAGGATCGGGGTTTGGTAGTGTTTGGCAACTTTGTGGGAGCTGGATGTGTAGAGACACCTTTAGATGTAGAGTCTATGTACACAAGAAAGCCCGGCGGCATCTTGATCGTAATCATCATCACCATCCCCTCCTACTCCTCTTCTTCGCCCTCCTCTGGCGGTATCCAAACCAGCAAGCCATCCTTGTCGATCTTCATCCCCTCCGTCGGTATGATCCTAAGCACCTTTTGGAAGTACTTGTCCCTGACCACGAGTGTCGGCCGGATGTAGTCACCCCGTATCAGAGGTAACAGCCGGTACGTAATGGTACGTCTAGACACCGGCAAGACATGCGCTGTGGTCTGCTTGGAGCCGGAAAACGCAAACTCATCACTGGGCTCCATGTTCAGACCAAACGTCAGGAAATGACTCGACGGGTTCTCAATGGTGATGTCCAAATGTATCAAACCCGTCACGGGGTTGACGAGGGAGTACGAAGCTAGGACGCGGGGCTCGGTGCCCAGGACAATGTATCTCGGGACAAGCATCCTGGTCGTGTTGACCGGCGCTGGCGATGAGGCTGTTGATGTGCGGCGCCACTTGAGGACAAAAGCCACGTCGAGGGATGCAGGCCCCCGATCATCAAGGCTGAATTTTTGAGCGACCAGATCGAACTGGGCCTCCTGCATCTGCTTCGGCGGGATTCGCAGCCCGCCTTCGACAATTTCTGGGCGGGTTGCTGTGGTGCATCGTGCGTGGTTCTGGCACGCAATGACTTCGGCGTCCATACTAACAATCTCCAGGTCTTCCGTCGCAAACGATGCAAAGTGACACACCAGACACCACTTTTGTGCCAGGCCCCGGGGCTGAACCGCAGCTTCGTCTGCCGAGGGGTCCTGCACGCCCTCATAATCGAACAAGCTCGGCCAGGGGTCGGAATGGAGACGCGGGATAAGGTCGTAGTTGGCTTCAAAGGGGTTGACGACGTTGAGCTGGACGGGTAGAATCTGCATGATCAAGGTAGCCGGGTCGGTGGCGAGATGGTAAAACACCCTCAGTGTGACATCAAAAGACGTGGTCAGCTGTACGGGGTCAAGCCTGACCTTGACACGTTTTGACTGCGATGGTGTCAAAGTTCCAAGTGTCAACCCCGTAAGTTTGGCCTCCTCCTGACCAGCTTCTGCAGCATGCTCTCCTTCATCTTCAATGTCTACACGGAAGGACGGGATCTGCTCGCCAAAGACGTGAGCTTCGAGCTTAGCGACAGCCTCCGTCTCCTCAGAGTTGACAACATCTACAACCAGATCCATTGGCTCGTTTGCATAGAATTGATCCAGGGGTTGCGCCAGCTTTATCTCCAGCTTGGGCGGCCTAGCCTGGACTTGAATAACATGCGCGCTCTGCCGCACGATCCGTCTCCGTGAAAGGGATGGTCCAAACCAAAAGTCCGTAGCCCCCAGATCCCGGAAGGTGACTGTATAATTCAGCAAAAAGGTGTCCGTCTCTAGGATCAACGTCGCCGAGGATGCGTGCGCCTCGCCGGGCTCCCGGAGAGGTATGGCCATCTCGTACACGTTCGTGTGGCCAGGCTTCAAGATCAGGTTTCCAGATCCGCTTAGTCCTGATGAGCCCTCTTCTCCCTCTTCGTCGGCTCGAGCCGCCTCGGTCAGGGGCACATCCGCAAGCGTGACCTTGCCTTTGCTCTTTCCAACATTGAACTCCGGGTCATGATCTAGCTTGATGGTCTTCAGGCTACCTTCAAAGTCGATCCTCAGACCCTTGAGCGTCACCGCTGATGCGTCTGGGAAAGCGTCGGATCGAATGGCGACTTGCGCTTGGCAGTTTTCGCCAGCTTTTCCATCCTCGCTTTTGAAGATGAAGGATGCGGCGATGAAGGAGGAAACCACATCGTCATTGATGCTCACAGTTGGTTTCGGCTCAATATCGAGTCCCTCGAGGGACCTGGAGATGTCGTAGTGCCAGTTGGGCCGCCGCGTGAATTCTGCCATTGCAGTCAGTATCCATAAAGATGAAGAGAAGAGAAGATCTTACTCTTGTTCATCAGCTCCCAGTCAATGGCGACTACAAGCTCCCCGTGACCAATACGGGCGGCCGCAGCACGCAGCACCCAGCTCAGGTCTTCCGTAATGTTGAGCCATCCCTCTGACCTAAACGACATGTCTTCCCAGAGAGGTCGCAGCAGAGCAACAATGTCGTCCCAGGCTTTCAAATTCACCATTTCTTTCGCGCATTCCAAAGACAGTTCGGCCGATAGCCGCAGTTGACGCCGTGCCTGGAACTGGGATCTAGCTGCCATTAGAATGTCTATGATGAGCTTAGAATGATTGACGCCCGTCCCTTGCAGAGGAAACTCCTCATGAGGATCTGGGCACATGTACGTGTCGTATTGGAAGGCCTTGCTCGCAACCGCTGAAGCCGGTGTGGTGTCTGGCGAGCGCCGGTCTTCTTCTGGAATAGACCGGGCGAGTCTTCGCCGGGTCATCAGATGCTCAGCTGCGATGCGATACCAGTATCCCGTGTGATGAAGCATTTCCCATGGTCGTAACCGGTCGGCCGCAGCAGCCTTTTCAGGCTGGAGGAATAACGTTCGCGTTGATGGCGCCAAGCTGCGAATGTCCACCCTCTCGATCAAGTTCGCCATTACTACCGCCCACCTCGACTCCCATGCGGCCCATCCGTAGTTATTCGTTCCCCGGCCGCGTCGATCGACAAAGTCGGCTATCCTGTCCCGATGACTGTGCCATTTCCGTACGGCAGCAGTATTCTGTGAACCCCAGAGCAGGCATCGGATGCTGCGTATCGCCAACACATCCGCGAGCATGCGCGCCTCGTTCCATCTCGGGCTCCAGCTGGGGATTATGTCCATGACATCCTGGCTGAGGAGCCCCTCATAAGCTTGTTCATACGAGCGCAGCGCCGCGTCCATCTCCTGTCTGAACTCGGCGAAGACACCCGTCTTGTAATCGTATCGTACATTCCAGTCTTGCACCGAGGTCGTCTGGGAAGTGCTCGTAGGCGGCACTGTGGGCTGCGGGGCGATTCCACGACTGCGTTTCTTCCGCGCATGACGGCCTAGATCGCGATAGTACTCTATAGCTTGCAAGAAGACGGCCGCAAGCATGGAGTCTGCAGTATGCTCCAAATCTGTTGACAGATCTTGGGGTGACAGGTAGAAGAAGGACTTGTTGTCCAGAGCAACGCCTCGCCTAATGTTCTCAAGTCTCTCCTGCATGAAGTCTTGCATAGAAGCCGAAGCAACGCCATCGCTCAGGAGAACAACGGCGAAGCGTGTCCTGTAGCCCGACCTGCTGATAGCGGTCTTGGTGTTGTTGATGTCGGTTTTCAGCTGATTATCGTGAAGGGTAGCAAGTGTCGGATCAGTCGTCAGGGTATAAAACGATACATAGACACTGGGAACCATGTCCTCGTGCTTTTGGAGCCAGTCCGTGTTCATCAAGCCATCGGGATACAATGGAGAGACTGGGCTGAGAGGAGAAAAGGGCGAATGCAGCACAGCGGGCGTCTCGGGAGCTTCTATGCCGTCTGGAAGTCTAGCGCGGCGAGGAGGGAGAACAAGAGACTATGCAGATGTTAGCCCTGACTTGACGCAAGTAGGTGGTGCGCGCCGTCCGTACTCGACCAGCAACGGCGACCCGCAGCCTGTACGGCTTCCCGCTGTCTTTGCCGTTCCATGGGTGATTCCTGCCATCCTGACGAACTATGTAGTCTTTCAAAGCTTCAGCATTCGGGCTTTCTATGCTTGGCAACTCGGATCGGATCAAGAGGGCCTGGTCTCGAAGCTCTGCGTTTAAAGGCAGGGCTTTGGCGGGGGTCGAAGTCAGACCGGCAATGACGATGTGCGGGATGTTATGATCCAGGCTTCCAACCGGGTATCCGTCCATTATTGTCAAGTTGGAGCATGCAGCGCAAGGCGACCATGAAGATATCGATTCGTTTGGCAGGGGTCGACCGGATCGCAAAGCTACTCTAGACATTGCACGTTAGAAGCGTGTACTCTTGGTGGTAGTTATAGCTAGCGAGCACTCACGGAAGCGGTACTCAAGGGAGCATGACCGCAGGGATCAGGAAATCAGGCGATGGCAGCAAGAGAGTGTGCAGTGAGGACAGTGTGGAAGATTTGCAAGTTGTCGCGAATGGGGAATAGAAGCTTCGTGCAAGTTGAGGAGCGCGCAAGCATGGGTGTCCTGCGTCCTCCAACAAGTCTGTGAGAAAGATACATGTCAAAAGTATCACAACCCAAGCTCCTGTCCCGCACCTCACCTCAACCATCCCAGCCCACCACCGGTAATCCTAAGGTACAGGCTACAGGTACCTTATCGTCCCGTCGCAGTGACACAGTGACCACAACAGCAGGTGGGCTCCCCTGAACAGCGCTGGAGGAAACAGCCGATCAGTGACAGCAGGGCATTTCGGCATCGGGTAAAGTGGGTGCCGACGCTGGGTGCCATGATTGGCTGCACACCTAAATGCGGTCATGGTCGACCCACTTTGACAGAGCAGACGGGAACCTGGCAGTGGAAAGCGCAGCGCAGTCGCTCTAGGTCACTCATCAGGTCAGTGTGGGAGCGCACTTGGGTACCCTCCACAGGGCCAGGAAATCCAGCCTCGCCCGCCTGCTTGGTCTCCTCCCGCCTCGTCACAGAGGCTGCGCGCAGAAATTGAGGGCTGCCCATTCTACCTTTCCTACACCTCTCCCACACCACACCTTTCCCCGAACCGGTCTCGTAAATGACTCTCTCTCACACCTCTCCCGATCCAAATTGAACTCAATAACCAGTCATTTGAGACTGACAAGTCTCTTTACTCGAAAAAGCTCCGACCGGACTCCAACTCTCCCCTCGTTCTGCTTCTCGCTGCCGCTGCCGCTGCCGCAACCACACCTCCGTGATCGCTTGGGCACATCGCCAGGGGGCAAGAGTCCGAGCAGCGCAATGGCAACACAACAGATCCTTTTCGCCGAGACGGTGGCCGCTATGAAGAAGGCTCTGAAGCGAAAAGCATACGGTACGCACACGAATCCCTTCCCGCCGTGAGCGTGTGTCGACCTCGCCTTCTAACGAGCACTTGGCAGAATCCGACTCGGACGACGAGATTGACCACTACGGCAACCGTGGTCACAAACTCCAGAAGCGCGCACTCTTTGCTCACAAAGGTCAACTCGCACCACCCTCCGGCCCCGAAGTTTATAACGAGGTACGTCGCGCGTCCCTTCCGCATGCTCGCCCATGGCGTCCGACAGACACTGATGATTGCAGGTGATCGACTACGCCGGCCAGCAGCGCACAATAATCAGCCGCAACCCTCCGATTGTAGACGAAGAAGGGTACGAAATTGACAGCGACGACGACGAGGAGCGCATCCAGGAGGCTGTCGCCTCGGCCACAGAGCTTGACCCGTACGCCAACATTCGAATTGAACGTCAGTACCACGAGACTCAATCGCGGCCCCAGATTCACAGCTGACCCCCTTCCAGAAATCCTGGCTCCCTTGACTGCCTCAATCGACCTGCCACAACATCCGACCCTTTCGAAACCCTTTACAGCCAAGACCCTAGACGAGATAGCCGAGCAGAGCTGCGATGTTCGACGGAAAGAAAATGCATCGCTGTGGAGGGTCAGACATCTCTTCACAAAGATTTGCGGCGACTACACATGGGTGCCCTGTGGCATGATGGTTGGTCCGGACGATGCCGACCTGTACTCGACAGACTATGTCGAACGCGGCTACCTACAAAACACGAAAGCTATCACTGCCGGATCAAACGAGGACGCCTCCTCCGGTACGTTGAGCGGCGATGCGAAACCAGAACACGCGCCAAACGGCACGAACGGCGAGGCGTCTGGAGGCAAGGAGAATGAAGATGGAGACGTGACTATGACTGATGCCGGCTCGGAGAAGGGAGACGCTGCGAAATTCGCACCTGAAAAGCCAGATAAGGAGCACCCTCGACCTGAAGCAGACGCATCCCAGGCAGCAAACGGCGAAACCACAAAGCCCAGCACGGTAGCCAAGGAGACACAGGCCGAAAGCAAAGCCGACAAGAAGCAGAAACAAAAGGCGGTCGATGTCGAAATGCATGATGGCAACGCGATACCTCCGTCGCAGCCCGGGACAGAAGTGGCTGATGGCAACGGTACGCATGCGCCGTCAATGGCAACGGCATCGGAGGCGGCGGACGAAACCTTTGTTCACCCATTCTTCCGACCGCCGGCCAACGCTCGTCCAGACCGAGATGTGGGTCTACCGGAGGCAGAGGCCGAGGATATCCGCCGCCTGTTAGCTCTGTACGTGCAAAAACAAGAGGAGGTCTGCCGTGGTGCTATGAAGCTCCACGAAGGCCTTCTCAAAGCCAATCGGTTGCGCAACACAGTTCTCGAGTGGTCCAAGTCGGAAGCGCACAGTGGTGCCAACCGAGATATGTCTGACGGCGAGGACTGGTACGACAAGGAGAAGTGGGGCCTCACGGAGGATCTCAAGAAGGGCCAGGACGACGAGGAAGAAGACACGGGCACCGTAGCCAAGAAGACTAGGAATCGCAGGTGAATGGGTGCCCGGGCGTTGTTGGCTTACTTTGAGGGATTGTCTCTGGGTTCTGGTGTTTGGCGGTTGACGTTGCAATTGATACCCCCCCATATTGCGAATTGGTCCAGGCGGCGCGCTGTTTTCTACGTCAAAATATATATGCTGGATTGCCTGATGAACCTTTTGAGTTATGATTTCGTACTGCTTTGCCTTACGTTGCAGAGTCTTTGGAGAAATGAGATGAGTTGGATGTGCTGGCAAAGGAACTTGGTGTCTCGAGCTACCGTTTGCCGCGTCAAGGATCGGATAGCTGCGGCGGGGGATGGAGGGAATTTTACCCCAGCCCCGAAGACCGTCGAAACCCCGTGAAGAAAGGAAACCTAAGGCTAAGAGCAAACGGTAAAGGTACCTCATAGTACAGAAAGGTAATACCGTAGGATGTACTTCCTTTGGTTACCTAAGGACGTAAAACCGCACCCTTGGACCCCCCCCCCCAGCGGTGCATTACTGCGTTATGACGAGACGCTATGGCCAGGTGTCCCCGCTAACATAAATACCTGGGGTGGAGCAAGCTTCTGTCACAAGCCTACGAGACTTCCCAACCCATCCTTCTCTTCTTCCTAAATAAGCTACTCTCTGTCCTCAACGGTTTTCTTTCTTTCGAGAGGAAATCTACCCATTGCCTTGCCTTGCAATTTTCTCGTATCTTACACCAGCATTCCTCTTCATTGACCTCGCAATCCGCCATGGCGCCTGTCCAGATTGACAACAAGGCCCTGGTCGACTTCAACCAGAAGAGCCTACTCGGTACGTCATGTCGTGTCGTACCCGTGGAGCTTGGGCCCTTCCCTTTTCTCTCTCGAGCTTCTCGTCGTCACCTCTCCCCTCGCTGACCCAGATCGTTGCAAACAGTTTCTGCCGCTGCCATTGCCTTCAACCCGTTGTTCTGGAAGTGAGTTACTCTGCTATCATTGTCAACGTGCCTCAGGCCAAGTTATGTGCTAACATCTGCGTAGCATCGTCGCAAGACAAGGTTCGTGAAGCTGCCACGGTCGTGTCCCCGTAGCTACCGTCTAACTCGGTTCCCAGAGTACAATAGCAAGATCCTCACCAAGCTCGCTGGCGGACGTTCGCAAGCTGCATGCTACGGTCTGGCTGCCACCATCTTCTCTCTCGGCATTTTCCGTGATCTTCTTTACGAACGGGCCCTGCGCTTCCAGCCAGCCCACCCACTTCTCGCGTCCGATGCGGTGACCTATGTCGGATACGCCCTCGTGGCATGTGGCAACGTTCTCGTTCTCTCTTCGACATGGCAGCTGGGTATTACCGGCACGTTCCTCGGTGACTACTTCGGCATTTTGATGGATAGCATCGTGACTGGCTTCCCCTTCAGCATTACCGACGCTCCCATGTACAATGGATCCACCATGAGCTTCCTCGGCGCCGCCCTCATCTACGGCAAGCCTGCCGGCATCCTGCTGACTGTCTGGGTCTTCATCGTCTACCAAATTGCCCTGCGCTATGAGAACCCCTTCACTGCTGGCATCTATGCCAAGAGAGACCGCGAACGTGCTGCTGGCAAGGACACCAAGAAGATTAGGTGAATGCAACAAGAGGTCCAGCTTCAACAGCACAAAACCCATCTCCACACCCCGTTCCGGATGGGGGCCGAGCGCAAGACCGGACGACAGGGGGTGTACGGAGCCACGCAGGTCCCCGCCGGGTACTGCGGTGATATGGGTCTCGGTGAGCCCGGTCAGTCCGGTGAGCTGACCGTCCCACACACTTCTTCCCGAAGACGGCCGGCCGAGTCAAGCCCAAAACGGCCCGCCAAGGGTGAAGAGCGAGAGAGAGAGAGACCAAAAAAATGGACATCAGCCTTCAACAAAGTTCGGCTGTCGAATACCTATTACTTTAGTGATTCAAACCAAAGAAACTTCGCTTCTAGTCAGGCCAACCAGAAGATGCAATTTACATGACATGGTTGGGCGCCTCCGTTTACGCCACAGCTTCGACTTCTGCTTTTATCCGCTCCTCACAGACTTGAAATGGCAAGCCATGCCGTAATCGTTGATTTCGCCATGTTGGTTAACATTAGCATGTGCGCTCTCCCACGGGCTATTCCGAACGCGGACAAAAGGTCTCACGAACTCTGGTCCAGAAGCATTCTTCCAAGACTTGACCGACTGCTAGTGGCGGGCGATTCTTGGAGCGTCCTTCTTTACTCGTCCCGCCCCGTCCGCACTAGCCAAGAAGGACCGTCGCACATCTGGACCTGTTTCGAAGAGAAAACCCACTGCTCGGTTCCATTCCGTCTTTCTGGGGCGTCCCAGTGGCTCGGTCGGATGTTTCCCACGGCTTGCTCTCATGACGATGTGGTGTCTCATACGGAGGCGCCGTAGGCCTTCGCGGAGACCGCATTCGGAATGTTTTCTGCCGTTGAGTGAGGATCTGGTAGTGTTTCCGGCTCCGTTTTCAGCATCGGCACCTTTGGACGTGACAAAACTATGCTGTTTCCCGTTTTCCTCCTCAAACCGAGGAGTCTTTTGTTCCCTTTTCCCTCCCCCCTTTGACGCTCTTGCAATGGGTTCAACGCTGCCGCTCATAAGCGCCCCCATGGCAAGTTTTGACGAGTTTGCTTGTTCAGGTTACACATTGGCATCAATAATTCTAATCGTCCCCCTGGAATGTAGCATCGCGGACCAGATCAAACTCTGTCGTTGCTACCTGGGATACCATGAAGCCTACATGGCTGGATGAGCCCGTTGCTCAGCAAGGTGGCAGTTCTCGCCGATCCAGCGTCAGTCCTTTCACCGCCGACTACACCATCAGCCAGACCCTACACGGCCAGTCACACTCGGAGTCCAGGCGACTGAGTGACGTTCCACCGGATTTCATCAACCTCAATGCCATTGTATCGTCGCAGGGCACGTCGGCCAGCACTGAGGATTTTGCCCCGAATACGCTCAAGAAGCAGACGCGGATCGACGACGAGGGCCCATTTTCGCTCCTTGAAGGACCGACACTTCCCTTGCCAGGTCATACCGTTCACAAGAGGGAGAAGAATTGGATCAACAGGCGATGGAGCGATCTCATCACGTTTGGCAAGTTTGTGGGACCCGGGTTCATGATTGCCGTTGCATATAGTAGGTATCCTTGGAAAAAGGAAGTGTTGAAAGGATTGCCGAGACTGACCGTCTAATGCAGTTGATCCCGGAAACTACGCCACTGACATTGCCGCCGGCGCCTCCTATCACTTTGACCTGCTATTCATCGTTCTGCTGAGCAACGTCGTTGCGATATTCCTCCAGGCGCTGTCTATCAAACTCGGGACCATCACGGGCCTCGATCTGGCGACCGCCTGCCGCGTCTTCCTCCCGAAATGGATGAACATCATCGTCTACGCGCTCGCCGAGATTGCCATTGTTGCGACGGATATGGCGGTCGTCATTGGAACTGCAACGGCTATACACCTGCTTATACCAAAGTTGCCGTTGATCGCCTGCGTCGTTCTCACCATTGTGGACGTCGTCTTCATCGTCGTCTTTTACCGCCCCGACGGTTCGATGCGCGGTCTACGGCTTTTTGAGATTGGCGTTTGTTTTCTTGTTCTGGGCGTCGTCGTTTGCTTCTGCATTCAGCTTTCGTTGATTGAGAATACGACGGTCGGTCAGGTGTTCCGCGGATACCTCCCGTCCAGCTCCATCATCCAGACTCAGGGGTATGTAGAGAAGGCCCTCCTGCGATCCAATGGTCGTGCTAATGTGTACTGTGACAGATTATATCAGTCTTGTGGAATCTTGGGCGCAACAGTCATGCCTCACAGCCTCCACCTCGGCTCAGGCGTCGTCCAGTCCCGCCTCAAAGACTTTGACATGAAGGAAGGCAACCTCCAAGAACTCCCCCGCTTCGACACAATGACCACTGTCGACAGCTACAACAAGGTCTTTTACTTCCCCTCCATGGCCGCCATAAAGCACTGCATGAAATTCTCCATCGCCGAAATCGTCTTCTCCCTCTTCATCTTTGCCCTCTTTGTCAACTCGGCCATTCTCATTGTAGCGGGTTCGGCGCTCTACCAGGGCCAGACCTCCCTCGCCTCTGACATCTTCGGCATGCACGACTTGCTCGCCAACAGCATCTCCTCCGCCGCCGGAATAATTTTTGCCTTTGCCCTACTGTTATCAGGCGTATCCGCGGGCCTGGTCTGCACCATCGCCGGCCAACTCGTCAGCGAAGGCGCGCTCAACTGGCGCATGCGGCCCTGGCTCCGCCGCCTCGCGACGCGCCTCATCAGCGTCACGCCCACCGTCATCGTCGTCGCCGTCGCGGGGCAGTCCGGGCTCAGCAATGCCTTGACGGGCACGCAGGTCGTGCTGAGCACTGTGTTGCCCGTCATCACGGCGCCGCTGATTTACTTTACTTCGTTTGACAAGTATATGACTGTCGTGCCCGGCGCCGCGAGCTACGGGTCCGATACGGGTGTCGTGCCGGCCCGGCGGTTTAGTGCTGTGGGAGTCAAGATGGCGAATTCGTGGTGGGTTACGGTGCTTGCTGTCTTGCTTTGGTTGATGATTACCGTCATGGTTGTGGCGAATTTGGTGCTGTTGGTGTTGAATGCTCATAATTGAGACCGGTTTGTTGTATTGGTGACGGAGGGGGCAAATGGGGAGGGTATACGCACATTTTGGACGTTTTGACGATTGATGACTTGATGACTTGACTGTATATTCGATTTTATGATGTATGCAATGTACGAGACGGTTGGCGTGGTGGTGGGATTTAATAGGGGGCTGTACACATGAGGCGAGTATAAGTCTAAGATTTGCTTCATCATCTCAATTTTTTCGACTCTTATATCAATTCATGACTTTGTATAGCCCTTGTCTCAATGTTCTCGCTGCATTCTTTGTAGAATTGCTTTAAAGAAGGGATATCGACTTGTGTCACTGACTGGACAGTGGTGAAGGATGAGGATTAAACAACATCCGTCTCGATGTTGAACGTCTTTTCGACATCAAGAAATGAACACTCACCCTTCCGTGGTTTTACTTACTTACTCCTTGCCAGTTCTTACACGGTGAATACGTATTCTGACTTTAACATGATATGTAGAGAGATTGGGCTCTGGTATCGGTCTTCGTTGTCGTCAGGAGCTGAGGATCAGATACGGGACCATGTCAGTACTTAAATATGCTAGCCTCAAAAAAGCATTCATTCATTCTACGACTTTTCCTCTCTTATCAGGTCCACTTGCTGTTGGCCTAGCCGTGATCTCCTTGAAGGAAAATCGACGTTTGGCTTGCTGGCCGTTACATACATTCCCGCTACAACCTAATCCACGGCCAACAGCCTCTTCACCGCCCGATAAATGTCACTACGAAGGCAAGTAAGGCAGTCAGTCCTTGACCAAGGGAAACCATAGCGGCGGGCGGAGACGGGCTAAATATTGATTGGAGGATCTAGCAAGGGCCGGCCTGCCAGGTCCCGAACGCTTCATGATTAATTTCTGCTACTCCCAGCCAAGAAACGAAAAAAAAATTTCGAGATTTGTCTTTAACAACATCCGGCGGGACCTCTCTGAATCTCATGGTTCTTCTCAAAAAATCTTTATCGCGGCTTGCAAGGAGCGCGGCACCCTACACACCACCTAAATCACACGACCTTTTCAACTTCCCTTTTCTTCGCGCCTTGGATTTGACGGCACACTGGCACACTGGGGAGTAAGCACCAGCACGCCGCGGGCGGGAAAGAGGTCTGCCCCCACTCTTCCCACTCGGCAGGGAAGATAGGCGCCTGACCGAGGCTTCCTGTCATCGCAGCCCCTGCATTCCTAGCCGCAAAACGGCTTGGTTCGGCTCAATGGTCTAGAGGTATGATTCTCGCTTTGGGTTCTTGATTACATCAAGTCATCTTCTGCGAGAGGCCCCGGGTTCGATCCCCGGTTGAGCCCCATTCTTTTGCTTTTCAACCCTTTTAATGTTATCCATTGATTGTCGCCCTCTTTTGTCGCATCTTTCACTACTCACTTTTGTCGGTTTCGGTCTTGGTTGAAGTTGACGTCGTGGTGCATACAAATTATGCAGTGGGTGGTGGTGTGTGTGTGTGTGCCCACCCACGTGCCGACACTTGACCAGACTTTATTCTCCAACCCGTACGGGGGCCGTACGGGGCACTTGCATCTTAGCCGTAGATTCTGCGTGGAAAACGTTGAACCTGCCAATGTGAGGATCAACAGGCGAGTCGAGATGAGCAGCGTCGCAGCGGGATGAGGGAAGCAGCAGCAGGCTTGGCCAGGGCCCCCTAACGATCCATCCGCGCCAATTTCGAGCAATCTCGAAAGCCCACCGGGTGACATCGATTATTCAATCCAACGTTTGGTCTTCAGTGGTCCGCACTGATCGTCGTTACTCCCGCTATTCTTTTTGGGGGATAGCAATCCCGACAATAGATGGTAGGCCACACGCAGAATGGTGAACCAAACCACGTAGCGCCTAGTCTGGTGCGCTGGGTTGGGTTGCCTCGATTGTGTTGGACCCTGGTCCTGAATCTGGCGTGAAGTGAAATGACGGCATTCCGTCAGATTCTATGTCTCTCTCTTCAACCACGCGCGCGACGCTAAGGCATCTACTACACACATCTTGGAAACCCCCCAACGTGCGATGGGTCTGGATGCCACCAGTCTGCCTGGTCTGCCTGGTGGATTGAGTGGGATGGGATGAGATGCCTTGGCCAGGGCAGATGCGCAGGATATTGATGTACGGCAGCGGCGGCGTTAGCAGCAGACACGGCGGCAGAAGATGGGAAGAATCTTGGCCTGCAGCTGCAAGTGAGCCAGCAAGCAAGCAAACGGCGGCCAGCCAGAGAGGCACAGAGGGAAGATGGATGGCAGATGGGGGGCAGAAAAAGCAGGGTTTCAGCATCCCGTCGAGTGCCCATCCTGTTCATCAAACTTACAGCGGGAAACGATACGGACTGGCGTGCGAATCTCCGATGACGGATGAACTCTGAACTTTGGACTGTGGTCCATCGGACTCTTTCTCGACTGATGTTTAGCTGCGGGGGATACTAGACAGTAGAGTGACTCTCTACTCCGTACGCTATGAGATATGTCCACCTGTAGAGACGCCAGAACAATCTCTTCTTCGATGATGGATGGACCAAGCTCATAATGTGCTCTCCACGGGTCTCTCCAGACTGGCAGACGGGACTTGACGAGTTCTCGTAGGCTAAGCTCAGATACGTACCGCCACTACTGGCCCCGTGCATCTGTTAGTGGGAAGGCCGTGCAGCTGCCATCCCTACCACACTTCACTGCCTCTTAGTATCCGCAATGAGTCCGGACAAGAACCTTACAAGTTACAGACAATGGAACTCGAGATGGCCAAAGAGATGCTTCTTCCTGATATTCCATTGTGTTTACTACTTGAAGAACAAGGCGAGAAAAACCAACAGCCAACATCAACACCAACACCAGGCGTTTGTTGGAACAAGAAGGACAGAAGAGACGTATGACAAGTGACGAGGATCATCAACAAGTACCTACGGATACAGGCCATGCATGCCCCATTCCCCGAATCCCCATTGATTGTCACTGCCTCAGCCAGGGAAGTCATGCAGCCCATTGGTTCCCACCTTGATCATTTTGCTTTTGGCTGGATAGTCCCGGCATGGCATCCTGGGCTCTTCCCTTGGTTGCCCACCTCACCGCCCGCCGTCATGCCTCTTAAGGTACTTTATACTGTACATGCAGAGAGAGAGAGAAAGACTTATGCCAAGGCCAACGCGTGACTGCCATGCTGTGCTGTGCTATGCTATGCTGAGACGAGACCTGGAGACGAGACCCTTCCCTGAGGCCTGCTCTGCGGTGGGCGTCTATCTGTACCGTCTATTTCCATCCTCTCTGAGAAATGGGAACACCCCCCGGCCCTTGGCCCTTTTTGCCCACCTCATCGTCGGTGGCCTCTTTTTGACTTTCTTGCTTCTTACATAGACCTGCCCTGACCCCGTCGTCGTCCCAACTACATCTCTCCAGCATCCATCGTCGCCGAGTATCTTAGCTTCATCGCCGCAATCGCTTACACACGTACATACATAGCACAAACACGACGACACCACCTCTTACACACACATCCTCCCTCGAAATCAGTCATCATGCCTGGAGTTCGTAAGTCTGCCCTTTTCTACCCTTCCCCAAGTTCTCCCTGGTCGTCTACTGCGAAAGCTGCAAGAGAGGCTATCAGACCCTCCCAAAGATGCGCGACGACGTAACAGATATCTGAATCAAAAGTGCCAAGAAAAATCACTAACACGCGATGCTTCCCAACTAGCCATCGACGCCCTGGACAACCTCAAGTCCAAGTTCAAGGCCATCTTCAAGAAGAAGGACGAGAAGAAGGCCGAGGCAAAGCCCGCCGAGGCCAAGCCTGCTGCGACGACCACCACGCCCGCTGCCACCGAGCCCACCAAGACTGAAGCTGCTCCCGCGGCTGCCCCGGCCAGTACGTTTGTCTTTCCCTTCCAGTTCCTCTCGTTCTCGCGAACATTCTCCTACCAGATCGTCGCCTCGATAACCACGTACTGACTGACTACGAACAGCTGAGCCCGCTGCTGCTCCTGCTCCCGCTCCCGCTGCCGCTGCTGAGCCAGCCAAGGCCCCCGAGCCTGAGGCCAAGAAGGAGGATGCTGCTCCTGCTACCACCGAGCCCGCCAAGGCTCCCGAGGCTGGTGAGTCTCCCCAACTAACCTTGCGCAAATTTCACAAAGGGGAAAAAAATAAACAGATGACTGACCCGATGCGCTTCGCGCAGCTCCCGCCGCGCCCGCAGTCCCTGCCGTAGCCGCCGAGGCCCCCAAGGCCCCTGAGCCCGCCACTGCGCCCGCTCCCGCTGCTGCCCCTGCTGCCCCTGCTGCCCCGGCCGCCACCGAGCCCGCGAAGACGGAGGAGACTCCCGCACCCACCGCCCCGGCCGCCGCGCCCGCTGCTGCTGAGACCGCGCCCGCTGCTGCTGAGACCGCGCCCGCGCCCGCTGCCGCCGCTGCTCCGGCCGCCGCTGCCCCCACCGAGGCTGCCAAGCCCGAGGAGAAGAAGGAGGCCGCTGCCACCGCCTAGATTGCGCCGTTGGATTTCGGCTCCAATGACTGGTTTCGGAATCACAGTGTCATCTGGTTGAAGAAGGACTAGACTCGACCAGAGGTCGTGGGACTTGGTTGGTAGAGGAGGGAGAGTGATTGATGCAAGCGAACCAACCCCGTAGCGTCATATTTCGAAATGCTGCTCTCCACGATGATGACGAAACCACTCCAGTCACAGGAGGAGAATAAGCGGCACATACACACATTTGGGGGTTTAGATGGTTTCTTGCTTTCAGACCATTGGTCTAATCATGTTCATTTGCTTAATTGTCGGATACCCATTAGTCGAGTAGTTGAATCGAGCGTACTTTCTTGAACTGATATGATCTTTGTCTTTCCTTCTCGTCTACGAACTGCTGTCTCCAGACGGTATAGACACACCGGAGCAACAAAAGCGGTGTATTCACAAGTTGTATCTCCAGGCTATGCAGATACCATTGGTCTCGTTCGACCACTCCCCGGCTCGCGTCTTGGTCCTTTGCCTTTTTTAGGTCCCATCTCCACCCAGGCGTTCAGACTAACCTCTGCTCAGCTTGAGCCATAATCAGTCGGGGTATCTATTACATCTAACTCATGACGTCCTCCGTTTTTTCTTTTCGGTCACATCACTTTGCCCACGGCGCCTTGGTCAGCGCAATCTGCGCATCGGCCGTGCCCTGTCTCGCCTGCTGCGCGCCAGGGGGCATGGCCATCATACCCGGCGGCGGCCCCCTCGCCGAAGCCGCGGATGACGGTGGCGGCGGCGGTTGTCGCGAGTAGGAGATTCCTGCGCCGCCGGGCGGAGGAGGGGGCATGCGACCCATTGGAACAGCACCAGCACCAGCACCAGCACCACCTGCTGTCGCCCACGGCGCGGCCGTGCCTGCACCGGCTTGGGGCGGAGGCGGCGCCGTTGTTGCTGGGTAGTTGTACGAGGGCTGGTTCGCGGCGTGGACGGACTGGGATACGGGCGCGGCGTTGGGGTCTTGGTCCCAGGAGAAGAGGGAGCCGAATGTGAAGTGCTGGACGACGGGGAACTTTTGGAGGACTTCTGCGTTGAACATTTTGAGCATGCCCTAAGAAGGATGTCAGTGATTACCCTACACTGGTACGAGAAGAACGTGGGCTTTACCTTATTGATCTTGCCCCAACCGTCCTTGACACCAGACACGTCAAAGAGGATGGGACTGTGTTCCCAAAACGGACCCTTCTTCACGTCATTGATGAACCCGACGGCGGAGAAGTACATGTTCTCGGAGCGCTGGTCCTCGACGACGGCGGGCTTGACAATGTCCCCCGTCTTGGGCGCGCCGCGGACGGAGCCCTCTGTCGGCATCGGGTCCGAGTCCGCGGACACGGGCGCCGCGAGCTGGGCGGAGCCGAAGATGTAGGGGAGGAAGGAGTGGTCGTCGAGGCCCCATACGCCGTGGGAGCCTGCTGGCTCGAGGGTGTATGTGAGGATGAGGCGGCGGATGACGCGGAGGTAGGGTTCGATTACGCCGAGGACGATGGTGCGGTCTAGGGCGGATGTGTCTGGTGCTGCTGCTGCAGGATTGGGTTTGCCATTTTCTGAGGCGGCTGCGGTGGTGGTGTCGTCGGCAAAGTAGGAGAGTTTGTAGAGCGAGCCAAGGAAGGCTAGGAAGGCGAGCTCGTGGCCCGTTCCGTAGTCCAGGCGCTGCGCGGAGCCAAATGAGCCGAGGAGGTACGCCAGGAGCTCGGCGGCGGGCGGCTCGGAGGACGGCGTCGCGGGGAAAGCGAGGACAGAGTTGGGGATGTGCTTGGACAGCAGGGCGGGCGCGCGTTCGGCGAGGAGCTCGTGCCACTTGCGGAAGGAAACGTTGCCGAAGCGGCGGGGGCCCGGATCCGGAGGTGCGAGGTCGATGAGGGCTTCGGCTTCGGCGAGGAGGGCCTGGAGGCGGGCTATGGAGGGCGGAAGGCCGCGTTCGGGCGTGGAGGGGACGGAAGAGAGCGTGTAGGTTGTGGAGGGTCCCGTTGGGCGGGTCGGGTTGCGGCGCGGGCAGAGGGAGCGGTTGAGCTGGAGGAGGAAGAGGAGGATGTCGCGGTAGGCTGTTGTTGTGAGAAAGGTTGCGAGGTCGGTGCCGGTGTTGATGCGCTTGGTGGGGGTTTGGAAGGTGCGCGGGGCCTTTGGGAGGGGTGTGATGGCGGGGAAGGATGGTTTTTCGAGTGGTGTTGTTGACGAGGCTGATGGCGATGGTTTTGGAGGATCCATTGTGATTTGCTGGTGTGTGTACTCTCGTGGGTTGGGACGAAAGGGGTCGAGATGTTGGGTTGGATGTGGTTGTATGAGGTTCTTCTGGCTGTGGCTGTGGACGATAGCTTGGAGCTCTACTCTGTAAGCGCACATTGTTTGAGATGATGGAGGGGTGAACCACTGTGGAGTAACGAGACAGTGCCTTAGTCAGCGACCATGACTGCAGGGTCTGCGAACAATAGAGATTCTCTCCCGCTTCAAGCTTATTTTCTCCCGACTTCCTGATTGAACTTTCTTCACAACACACTGAATTGACTTTCGCGTCGAAGCAGACTTTCGGACGTGTCAAGCGGACTCACACTTTCTACCGCTTGTGCGAGACCGAGACGAGACCGAAAGTATGTATCATATTGTATTAATTACGTCTATGCTTAGGTTCTATCCAAACCTCGGTCTGTCTGAGCGCCGTCTATGGCCTCCCTATTATGGACTGTATGTACCTCTGGTTGAGCTCTTTGGTACAGGTGCGAAAAAAAAGGTAACAGTCTGACGACAAGAAGACACAATGGCTCTTGTTTCGAAGGGGCCATCTATTAGATCAAAGGCCGCGCGGCCCTGGAGTTGGTGGTACGCCCAGGTTGAATGGTTTGCAAGTGCAAGTCTCCATGGGTCGAGGTTGATGGTGTACTCGGTAGGATGTGCTCTAACCTTCTTTCGCGTTTCCTCTATTTTAGTTTGTCGCTCACAAACTGTTTAATCTGGTCGCCGTAGATGCTGGGATACTGTAGATGAGCAACAGGATCATTGCCGTTGCAGCAAAACGGGTCTGCTGAATCACAGAATGACTTGATATTTCCTCCATTCGGGCATTGGAACCCCTGAGGTCGTGGTGCGAACTGACATGCGTTAGTAGCTACTTCTTCCGTCTAACATAGTTTCTTCCACCAACTTACCCCTTGCGTTTTGCATGTGCCAACCTCATAGGGAAGGCCAGCGACATAACGTGGGTCGCCCATGAAGATGGCCACTTTCACCGCGCCGAGCGCCTCGTTGGAGATGAGAACATTGACGTCCTTGACTCCTTCAATGCTGTCTCCACCGCCGCAGTAAGCGTTATCCATGATTTGAGCTCCCTGGTTTCCGTCAGTCAGACCTGCCTCTGCTAATGCAACGTCAATATGCAAGACATACTTGAGAGAATCCCAGCATGACAATCTTCGTCTTGGGGCATTTCTTGTTGAAGTCATTCACGGCCGTGGCAACAGCCGCAGTCCCATTCTTCACCGAGTCCGCGTAGCTGATGCCCAAACAGTCTGACGAACCACCGCATGCGGGATAGCTGATGGCCTCGTTCGTGGCCCCTTGGTTTGCCTTGGTGAGGTCGTCGACGATGCCGGCCGCGGCACCAAAGCCCGGCGGTGCCGTCGTCTCTCGTGCCCCAAAGATGTGGATTGGCGGGCAGTCTTTGTTGTCCTGTCTTTGCTGGAGTTGCTGAAGCGAGTGAGGTGAGGCCATGGCTTGGCCAAGAAGAAACGCAATTCCCACGCTGAAACGCATCTTGGGCGACGGCGCCGTTCGTCGATAGGAGCTCGTGAAGGATCGAATTGAAGGGCAATCGACATTAAATCAGTCTTGTTGCAAAGACAAATAGCTGGCATATGTAGATAGGCTCCTATAGCGAAAACCCAAAGTCAAAACGAAGAAACAATGATAACAAGTGTAAGCCTCGCCGAAAAAGAAATTGCCGACCCCGTTGGAACTTTTCTTCAACTCTCGAATGTCATAAAAAGCCAAAAACCTGCTTTGTAGTTGCAAATTGCTTGATCGAGTAGACCGTTGCTTCCGGCAACAAGATTTATTTGGCTCGTGTCCGGGACGGGAAGAACCTACCTATTGCCCGGCACCTCGACACCCACACCGGCAAGGACGGCCTCAATCTTCCTTGCGCTTCCCAACACAGTTTTGGCGTGTCTGGCCAAGAACCGAGTAGGGACGAAACGGACGCGGTCGCCACCATACGTCCATGGCCAAAAGAAGCTCCGACGCTACATGACGGCATGAAGCTCTAGCTCCGGGAAGCTGAAGGCGGGAACGGGACATGTCGCAGCTTTTCAGACGAAAAGGAAAGGCTGTGGGCCTGTGGCTTCTACTTGCTGAGCCGCATCATGCACGATCGGCACGATTGTTTCCAACTGATGCCAGGTAGATAGAAGAGGAGCACTTCAGCTGAAAAAGACCGATGAACGAGTGAGAGGTGCAGAAGGAGATCAGCGTCCGATAGGTTGTGTGTGAAACGCGGTGGAGTTGGATAGCGATTGGGTTGGAACACGTCGTTGTTTGACATGGACCTCCATGTTCGACGAGTCTGTGTGTTGGTTAAAGAGAGTAAGCTCCCATCTCGGGTACGCTTAGAAGTGGTGTGAGGGTAAGGGTTGCCTCTGCCATGATGCTGGCTTCTTTCGCCTCGTCGGATTACCTCAAACTCATCCGCAAACCTATCACGAAAGCCAAATCTCGAGAAGCCCATGTCAGACCGCTGTTTTTGGGTCAGACTCAATGACGCTTTGCATTGAAGAAATTCCAAGGCCATAGATAGGGATTGATAAGAAACCCGTCCATGGTAATGAGCGTTGCGCTTGCAAGCTACCAAGCCTACTTCTTTCCGTCAAAACCTGTGTTGATAACGTCCTGATGGAGGATTTGCTCCATCTCATCGTATTCGGCCCCGGCAACTTGGCCAACTCGATGACCATTGAGCTCAGATGCTCTGCTGCGTCACAGAAGGGAATGAAGACATTTCGATCAATACTTTGAAAGAGGTTTCCATCAAGGGAGCGATGAGCTATCATCGGGGAGGAGACCGAGTCAAGTACGATGAAGGGTGAACATGTGAATACCGCTTGGCGGACGCAGCCCTCCAAGGCAAAGAGAAGTCTCCGAAACCGCATTCGGATGCAGTGGCCATCGGGTTGCCTGTGCATTCTGTCGTAAGCACAATCCTTCAAGATGGTGTTGAACATGCTGACTTAAGAAATATGAACGTCTCTGTCCGTTGAAGTAAGGGTACCCTTATTGCTGACTCAGCCGGAAGGAGGGGTCTTCGCCGGCCCCGCCTGCGGGCACTAGCTCCATGATCCCTGCTCGGAACGCGCTCTGGTCGGAAGGCATTAGGAGCGCGTTCCTGTCGTGAGACTCTATGGTAGCTGCTTCGTTCGCGTCATTGGACGAACGACGGATCGTCGACAATGAGACGCCAAGAGCACTGAAATTCATCGCGGTCGCATCGCTTTACTTGAGAGCCCATTCCTCAAGTCTAATTCCCTACTAGGACATAACTGGACCTCTCCCCGGTCGTGAGACGGCAATGCCGGTAGCCACCAGGAAACGACCTGGTCGGCCGACAAAGAGCCAAGCTGCGGGGGATGTCGAGAAGGCCATACCGACCAGCAGCATCGATGAGCTTCCGGCGGGAACCCGGCGCAGCAAACGTCTCGGTCACGTTGATGTGGAAGACATTAGGGATTTCGAGGCCATACGAGTGAAGAGAAGACGGAGGAGTCAGAAAGATGTGGAGGAAGAAGATCAGGTGGACGTCGACCAAGGCAGCGACGAAGAAGATGGTCAAGGCGAACGAGATGACCAGACTATGGAAGATGGTCCAGACGAAGAAGATGAAGAAGTAACAAACGACCATGGCGAAAGTATAGCTCTACCATTGGCAGCGGAGGCGCCGATCGAACCACAAGTGAGCTTAAGCCATTCTGAACTACTTCAAGAAGCTTACGATTTCTCCTGGAGAATGTCAGAAAACGAGGTCGGCCGAGGAAGATGCGTGAGGATCTCCGGGTAGATACATTGCGTAAGGAAGCAACGAATACCCATCGTACGAATGCGAGTCGTGCTGGAAGGGTGCAGACACAAGACCCCAGTCGACCTTCAAGAACGAAAGCGACGAAATCAAGTAAAGGCTTGTCGAATCTCGACGTTTCTCAACCGACGACAGATCCGGATAACGAGGACGAACCAGCCACCGCTGCAGGCGCCAGAGTGGATATCTATGAGTTTGCGAGTAGCCCACCTAGAGGGTCTGCCGTCGCAGTCGACCTCTCAGTGTCGTCATACGAAGAGGAAGAATCGTCCGATTCGCAATCTGATTCACAAGTCCCAGACACCGGAAATGGGCTGTTTGTCGAGCGCGAGACTCAGAGCGCAGAGGAAGACGACGAGGAGGGTAACGATGAGCAACTTTACAACGACCCGACTCTGGCCGAGTTGCCGCCGTCTGCACAGGCAAGGGAGGATGATGCCTATCCAGGTGATACCGACTCCCAAATGGAGCCACATCCAATAGAGCCAACGCAGCAGCTTCGTCGTTTGGTTGATGATATGGACCCGCCGACTCCTGACCTTTTCCCGGAGGTTGATTACGAGTACCCGGACGATCATTTCATCTTTCACAAGCCCGAAGACCAAGACCGATTGACTGCGGCGCCAGTGAAATCACCATCATTGAAGAGCATCAAGGAGCTAATGAATGGGGTGGGTTGGATGCGCTCCAAGGATGGAAGAGCAATTGACCTCACAACTGGGTCGGCGCAACTTTCACAGAGAACTCAGCCTCTCTGGGACCGCATTCAACTACTGAACGACTTCTGGGAAGGAGCACCTCGCGCGCCCCTTTTCAGTAAGCAATGCGACTATTTGCATTCGAGCGACGCAGATGCGGTCGATGCCAGGCGCACCTTCAAGGAAGTCGACACACTTGTTAATAAGATGGCCACGAAAGCGAAGAAGCCCAGCCCCGGCGACGAATCTGATATGCCGGCGCCACGTTTCGTTAAGGAGCTGTACGAAAGTGTCATTCCTTTGCTTGTGGTTACGCTTGGAAATGTATTCCAAAAGGGTACTGAGCACAACACGTCACATTACACCGGGTCGTTCACCAAACCGATGTTGCAAATTATGCACAGACTCATTGCTTGGATTGAGAAGCTATACTATGGCATGCTCTCAAACCTTGCAAGGAGGAGGCAGAAGGAGCAACTACTATCCAAGAAGCTCAGTCGAGGAAAACTGGCCGAGTATGTACGAGGCTTCAAGCGAGAGCTGGATGCAACTTGGACCAAGGTCAATCACACGATTCAGCGGCAACGACTTTACGAGCAGCGGTTTGGTGAGAAGAAACAGAAGGAAGAGCGAGAGCGGCACGAATACGAAGAGACTAGACGACGACAACGGGAGTTTTGCGATAGGCGACTGGAGGAGCGGATTGCAGCTGAGAAAGCACGCAGAGTGGCAGGCTCCCCGCCACAGAGTCAACAAAGCAGGTACGGGAGACAGCAGACGGGACCAGTGGATCGCCGTCTAGATACTACGCGAGGATCGGTGGACGTTGAGCCCTTTGCCTGGCCTGAAGCAGATGCCAAGTGGCTTCTACAGACGTTGTCCGCAAGGCCAGATGTTGATACTCAAGCGCTCGCAATGATGCTTAAACGCGGCGAAGACGAAGTCATAGCCATGATCAGTTTGCTGAAGCAAAGCGCCAGAGCACACGCAGCATCGAGAGGCAAGGAAGTTCCGGCATTTGCGGCAGCTTGAGCTGTCAAGTGCCGGCTTATTGAGATACACTAGCTGCAAGTTTATTGTTTTTGAGGATACCCACACGTTCGTAGCCAGCGTCTCAATATCATCATTTTGGGCATATGAGAAAGCCTCGATTCATCAAATCCCCTCATGTCTGCGCGCAGGGTTTCGCCTACTACCTTACCTCACGCGTAATCAGAGGTGATGACTCGGAATCAGTGTTTCGGAGGATTTCAATGATTACCAAACCGTTTCCTCTATGCGGTTTCAATTAGCGAACAGCATGATTCATGCGTTAATTAACGGTCAGAACAGCAGCAGCAATTTTGATATGAAGGCTCTGCTGAAGATTTGACCATGGAGAGACGATACCACGATACGACGTCAAAATGACGCCGCGAGGTTGTGTCGTCTTAGTACGGAGTTAAAGAAGAGCTATAGCAGGATCCGGAAACGGCATAGGTGAGCGGCCAAAGAATAGTCTGTGTAGTGTCGATTCCCTCTTCTTCCCACGTGGGCACCTCCGATCCGATCCCACCTGTTCGTGTCATTGGGCTGGGGGGCTGGGCAAAGGAAGCGAACGGCCGGCGCAGAGGGGCGTGGGAAACAATGGCCATAACCTACACAGTAAGGAGCAGAAGACGGGATGACAGAAGGGGAGGAAAGGCGCCCCGGGCTCTGGAACCTCTGGAACCTCCCCCTCAGGCTCCTCTGGTTGCGGCGGCCGCCAGACCACGCGCAAAAACATCTGCCGAAGATTTTGGCTTCGGGGGGGCTGACAAGCCACGTAGGCGACGCCGTGACACTGGGGCCCGTTGGTTGGGGCCCTTGGGAGGATGGGGGGCACGACTGGGGTGCGCTGGCCGTGGGGCCTTCGGCAGATGATTTTTGGGAGGAGGATTTGAAAGAGCGGGAGATGGAGGATGAGGGTTGGTCCCTGGAAGGGTTTGGCGATGTCTCACTGAGACGTAATTGTCAACTGCAGACAGCCTTCTCGCTCTCTCTCTCTCTCGTATAGTGTGAATAGAGATCGAGAGATGTGTCTTGTTTCGATCGCGAGAGCGAGAAACCGCTTGACTTACTTGGAGCGAGTGAGAGTGACGAGCTGGAGATAAGACACAAGAGAATAGTTTAGCTCGCCGACATCCAAGAGACATTTCTCATTCGTGAACCCTTGAACTAGGAGATTCGAATTCCTTTACACTAGAGACGCTTTGGAATACATGGTCCGTTTTACTTTGAACCGCCGAACCGGCGACTTTCCCTCGCGAACGGTAGCATAGACCACTGGGGTAGCATTTAGGGCGGCGCGACGGCGCACAAGCGTGCGGTTCTTTCGGCCTTCGACACGTGAGATGGAAGGTTGGTCTACTGTGCTAACACGGTAAGGGAAGTTGTATCCAGACGGCGGCCCTACTTTTGGCTTTTGGGGCTTTGGGGTTTGGGTGCGATCAACAGAGCTGGCCGGATCATTTGCCGAGCCGAGGAGAACTGAATCTCGAGGCTACTTGTTTAAGAACCGGGTGTAGTCATTATTTAGTGTACATCATTGAGGCCTGTAGATGTTGTTTCTAACTTCTGTTCCAGCTTCAGTCTGACAGTCTAAAGCTGAGCGGTAAAACAGTCCAACTCTGGGTTGATTTTCCACTCTTATGTGTAACAAGTATCTTTACTCGGTATGATGTGAATCTGCACTGCGGACTGGTTCACCTGTCTCTCTTGTGGTGTCATATACAATTCTGGAATGCTTTCGCCGGGTTGGTCCTGACTGGGAACGCTTCAAATCTGCAAAAACGGGCAAGAACTTTCTTTTTGCGACACGGTTCGAAGAAGCAACAAGACGTCAAGCTCATGTGCTGTAACCCAACCACATCTCAGATAATACAATGTGCCATCCCTCGGCTACTGTGGTACCTAACCCTTGCGGCGGTAAGGCGTCACTGGGTGATGCATGTGCGGGGAACCCCTGAGTTGTCAGTGAAGCCAGATGTCCGGGGCGGGAGCGGCTATGCGGCGCGTGGTTGGGGGAGGTGGTTCCAGAACTGCTGAATGGGAACAGGAGACTCCGACGAGAGGGCCGACGAGAGGGCCGAGCGAAGCCGAGTGGTTCGGAGGGCGGAGGATGAATGGACACCGAGGCCGAAGGCTTGGAGAAAGGCTCATACACGTACGAAGATCGCAACTGTGCCGTTCGCTTCGCTAGGGCGCGTCCATACGAGCATCTCGTTTCCACAAGCTCGTGCTTGTGAAGGCTCCGTGTCTGCGGTGAAAACAAGGTATCAGGGCATGAAGGGGAGGGTCCGGCGCCTGTTTCTCCCTCCTTCGGGGCCGAAAGCGTTTGACCGTCGCCCCCAGCACCAATCACGTCCCATTCCAAGCGACGCTGCGTCAGGGACCAAGAAGACTACTGCGTTGGCAAGGAAGGGGTTCTCTATGGATCAACCCCATACGTGGAGCCCTGTGATGTCTTGGACTACGGGAGTTGGGATGGACTCCGGGCCAGAAAGTCGGCAAATGAAAGTCGGATCGAAGTTGAGCTTGGATGTCTCTGATTGCTATGGAATTATGAGTTCATGATCAGTAATGAAGGCAAATATTTCTTGTTCTTTCGCCCGTCTCGGCGTTGTCGGCGAGCCAAAGGAGTGAGACACGATGACAAAGGGGACTGTATATGTTTACTATGTATGGATGGCGAGAATGGGCCGGAATCCTGGCCTGGGAGGCCGAGGATTTGTGAACAAAGGGCTTCTAATTAGGGAGAGGACGGCTCTACTGTATTTGCCTGAGGCCGTCAAGACTCAAAATCACCCAAGATTGAGGCTACAAGTGCTTGAAACAACAGCCAAGAGTGAGAGTGAGAGAGGGAGTGAGACTCACAATGAGAGAGAGCCTGAGAGAGCAGGTGAGCGCATTTACAACTGCCGTGCCCCCCACCAGATGCCATGGCCATGTCATGCCTGTTTCCAGCATCCTACGGGGCCCCTCCCCCGCAGATAAGGTACCCCAACGGTGGGTCGGCGCGCCGCCCGGTGTCTTGAGAGTTGAGCAGCTTACCGTCGACACGATGTTGCGACTTGCAGCTGACGGGATACCATGAGGAGTGCTCCGGAGCCTGGAGCACTGAGCAGGCGGTCGAGAAGTTGCGGACTCTGTAAAGCATCGAAAGCAGACATGGGGGAGGCGGCTCCATCTTCCCGTTTCTGCATAGCTCTCTTCTGCACCTCTTCCGCCTCCGACGTGCCTTGTCTCTCGAGTCTCGCGGGGTTCGTTCTTATGCGGCAGTAATGCTTCTGGATATCATACGACTTCAGCCAAGCCTCGGATATCCCGAATCAGCGCTCCTCTGCTCTCGATCAGGATCGTATCTTCTAGTCCATTACTGCCAGTAAGCAGTACGGTTAGGCGAGTGCCCGCACTTGGGACGATGGCCCTCAACATACTGCGTACGGTGTAGATTTCTGAGAAATGCATCTGCCGAAGATTCCATCAGTCATGACCAACCTTCAGCGTCCTGACCAAGGTGTCTACCACCCCTCCATCACCTTCATCCGGGCTGGGGCTCGCAGACCTCATTCAGTCCTGTGGGCGTCCGTGTCCTTGCCAACACGAGCGTTGACGTTGAGGCTGCTTCGGCAGGCAATTGAACCCCTCATTCCAGCTCTGTTTGACAGTCGATCTGTCTCGCTGCGAGTGCGACCCTCCGATGGAGGAGGACCATGATGGCACAACATGAGTGATGACAATGACAACGACGACCTGCCGTGGCCCGTTGCTCACAGCATCATACGGCTCGGTCCCTTCGGCAGCGGTCACACCCACACACACCCACACACACACTCTCTCTCCATAGGGACCATCGACGACGGTGGGCTTGGACTAGGGTACCTCACCACCACAGGCTACAGGCCACAGGCTCCTACCCCAGGGTCTCTCATGACCAGGCTGGAATCCCTCGCGCGCAGAGTGGGAGCTGAACATGCTGTACCACTCACACCAGAACATCCCGCCGGTGTCATTCTGCGAGCCTCTGAGTGGCCACCGCAAGCTGCGGTACCTGAGACCCAAGCTAGCGTCGAAGAGCTTGCTGCGTAAGGTGTGGCATTCCATTTGCTCTCGTCTTCTCTCTCTTCCATGACATGACGTTGGGGGGCTCCCACCTGTACAAAGTACCCCATCCGCGTACCTTGAAGTCTGAAATTTTGATTCCTCGGGTCGTCTAGGGGCGATTCGATGGGCTGCCTGGCTAACTTCTAGTCTACGGCCACGGCTACGGCTCTGGAAACAGACGCCGGCGCCTTTGGGGTCACACTCTCTGCTGATGTTTGCCTCCCTTTTGGACTTATCACACTGTCCGACTTCTGCTCTCTCGTTGGACCGGACGAGTCGGTCCATCTTCAAACGACCAGCCGACGACCCGTCTACCAAGCTACTGTTTTAGCACACGATTCTAGTACACCACGATTAGTGATGAGTGTAATCGTCAACGTCTTCGTCTTCAGAACTCGCGTGGCCTTGGACGCCGGACGGTTGGTAAAGTCCTAGTCCTGGTCGCCCCGAACGGCACCTCTCGGCCTCGACTACACTCATCTCACCTCAGTCTTCGTGTTCTTCCGCCTCTTCCGTGTGGCTTTATCTTGCAACAGCGAGTCTGTGACACCTTTCTCACTCTCGCCGCCGCCGCCTCTCCCTTCGGCACGGCGCCTACCATTACCGCCTTCTTGTCTCCCCCAAGTTCCTAGGTTCTCTCCAATTTTTCCACATTTTTCCACTTCGGATCCGCCAGTGTCCCAACCCATATCCCAGAAGCGCAAACACCCTTGCGAAATTCTAACTTTATTCTGTTCCCGCCCTCTTGTCTTGTCTTGTCTCATCTCGCACGAGACTCTGCGCCGAATGTCCAACGCTCTTCCCCTCGGCCGTGGAGACTAAGGTGTTCATAGTCAGACACTATCCGTAGGCAGAGGATACCTCGTCAAGGGTTGGAAACCTTCTCAAGCTCCTAGCCATCCTCCTAGGCTCTTCTCAGTTGCCCCCGTTCCCCTTCCCCCCTCCACTTACTACTCTCCGAGCTTCGTCCTACCTTGCAGTTACACGGTGCCGTCTCGTCTTGGCTACATTACTGGCGGTGCCCATAGATCGCCGAGAGGTTCCCAATAATTTACTTGCCGACCTGCCGCCCCAAAACCAGACACACACATATCACGAAAAAGCTAAGCGCATCTGCCATCTCGACGTGACGCCTGTTCCTCCTTGACTCCACCCCGCCGAGGCACAGTCCGCAGGACCTGCACGTCGACCATACGGCATGCCCCCTCGCATACCTCTTCCTGTATGCCCCATAGGATCCGGTCGATACATCCCAACATAGTAACTGGGTAAATTGCACTTCGGTACCTGAATCGGGAATTCCATCTGACGCCCGGCTACATCTACCTGGATCCACCCGCTTGGAGGTTTATCTGACAGTCTTCTTATACTAAGGGTGCCGCCACCAAGACCTGTCTCGCTGCATTGTGTTATACTCAACGGCCAAGCTCCGTCTCATCACAACACAACCTCAGCCAAGATGCACGGCATTACAGAAACGATACTAGAGACGTTCGCACAGCACTGGCTCTCAATAGGCCTGTCACTTATTGTAGCCTGGCTGGTAAAGAACCGCTATAACAATGGCCTCAACAAGTATCCCGGACCTTTCCTGGCCTCATTAACAGACTGGTGGCGCTTCTTCGATGTGAAGGGATGCCGTCCAGAAGTCACACATCAAAAGTTGCACGCAAAATATGGTGACGTCGTCCGTCTCGGACCCAACACTCTTTCTTTTGCCGACCCGGCCGCTCTGAAGAGCATCTACGGCCTGAACAAGGGCTTCGTAAAGGTAGAGTCCGGATGGCTGTCTTTTCAACATCTACAGTGGCTAACTGTCTAAGTCCGACTTTTACATCGTCCAACAGTCTATTGCCAAGGGCTTCAGGCTCGAGTCCCTTTTCAGCACGACGAACAATGACTTCCACTCTCAGTTCCGCCGCTGCGTCAACTCGGCGTTCTCCATGTCCGCCTTGGTTCAGTATGAGCCCTTTGTCGACAACACGACGAAGCTCTTTCTCTCTCAGACGGAGAAGCTTTTTGCTGGAAACCCCGAGGGATGTGACTTCACCACGTGGTTGCAGTTTTACGCATTCGACGTTATTGGAGAGATCACCTACAGCAAGCGCCACGGCTTCATCGAGAAGAATGAGGACATTGATGGAATTGTGGCCTACCTGGGCAAGCTGTTCCTCTACGTCGCACCGGTAAGCCCATCCAGAGTATCACTGAGCTACTCCGAGATAACTGACTAACATGTCCAAAGATTGGCCAAATCCCCTTCCTCGATCTCCTGCTCCTCAAGAACCCAATCTACCTGAAGCTCTCCCAATGGGGCTTCATCGACGCCACCTTCCCCGTAGCCCGCTTCGCCCGCGACCGCATGGCTGAGCGCCTCCCCGAGCTCGACGGCAAGGAACCCCTCCTCCCCGTCACCTCGGGCAAGAAGCTCGCCGAGCAGCCCGACCTCCTCTCCAAGTTCCTGGCCGCACGCGAGGCCCGCCCCGAGTTCATGTCCGACATCCTCGTCCAGACCATGGCCGTCAGCATGGCCTTTGCCGGCTCCGAGACCACCGCCATCAGCCTTGCTGCCGTCTTCTACTACCTCCTCCGGACCCCGACGGCGCTGGCGCGGTTGAGGGACGAGCTGGATACGTTTGCGAGGGAGGGCGGCTTCAGTGATAACGAGACGGGACTGGTGACGTGGACCGAGAGCCAGAAGCTCGTGTACCTCGACGCCTGTATCAAGGAGGCCTTCCGCATGCACCCGGCTGCCGGTCTGCCCCTCGAGCGCATCGTCCCCGACCAGGGCGCCGAGATTGCGGGCCACTTCGTCAAGGGCGGCACGATTGTGGGCTGCAGCGCGTGGATTATTCACCGCCGACCAGAGATTTGGGGTGACGATGTCGATACCTACCGCCCCGAGCGTTGGTTGCCGGAGGAGGGCAAGGATGCCGCGGCTGAGGAGAAGAGGATCAAGGAGATGAACGGGCACATGTTCCAGTTTGGCATGGGTAGCCGGACGTGTATCGGGAAGAACATTAGTCTGTTGGAGATCTACAAGGTCATCCCGAGCTTGCTCAGGAGATTCGACGTAAGTTTGCAACACTTTGCTGTTGTAGAGAGAGGACCGCTGATACTGACAATGATTAGATTTCCTTCAAGGACCCGAGCCAAGAGTGGGAGCTCGTCAACGCGTGGTTCGTCAAGCAGAACAACTTCCAGGCCAAGTTTTACAGGAGGGATATCATTACCAAGGACAGTGTCAACGAAAAGGTTGAGTCATAGAGACTACATGAGGTGTTGTTGTAGATGGGCCATGGTTGACGAGATTGATGACGTGGATGAATACTATAGAAGTAAAATAAAAAAAAACCAGAATTGTTCATACCATATTATTTCTGACATGCACCTGCATCTGCACCATCTCGTGGGGGTCTTCTTTTTTACAGGATATATTTCGGCAACAGGTCTTGTTCTGCCAAGAACAAGCAGCGGAGACCTAACCCAACTCCCTTCTTACACATCTTATATACACTATTTCACATCTGATAGGCCCCTCCTCCTTTTATGTAAATGCAATCTGCGAACAGGATATCTTTCGGCAACAGGTATATATGCGTCTACCTTGACGCCCAAGCAAAAAAGACAAAAAATGAAGTTGGCAAAATCCACAAAAAAAAAAAAAAAGAGTGGTGAAAGAAGGAGAAGAAGACGGCGAGCAAGCTCACTCAAGCCCACTCAAACTCATTCTTCAACCCCTCCACACCACTTTCGTCCTCAGTATCCAAGTAACCCGCGATCCGCCCCTTGGGATCCCACACCTTGCGCACCTCCATCAGCCTCTTGCCCTGCTCGTCGCCCCAGAACTTTGTCCTGCGGTACCGGAAGTCGGCGTCACCGAGATAGGAGCCCGCCGCGTGCCTCTCGACGCCGGCCATGACGTTGCTCACCCAGCCCTGGCACCGCTCGTCGTCCTCGGCGTCCGGGTAGATCGTGTAGAGCGCAAAATAGTGGTCCGACTGCATGCTGAGAGCCATGTCGGGCATAGTCTTTACCGCGCCGTTGGTGGTGCCGTTGGACGACGACGGCGTCTCGCCGGCGGTCTGCTGCGCGCGCCGAGAACAAGGGTTCATTGAAAAGTACAACGCAAACGACTGCGGCGTAGGCAGCTCGGTGAACGCCTTCTTGAGGACCTTGGGCACGTCGGCGTCGTTGGAGACGTAGGCGTTTTCGGAAATGTAGCGGTGCGCGGGCGGGTTGGCGGCGTCCTGGTCGACGTACTGCTGCGGGAGGGAGGTCGGGGTGGCGAAGACTGTGGCCAGGGGCCGGGACGGGTGGGAGGAGTGGAGGGGGATGAGGGCTTCCGGGTTCGCGGAGAAGGAGAGGAAGTTTGCCATGATTTGCGGGGTGGTTTGGCCTGGTGGTGTGAGGGCCAGGAGGACGATCTCGAGCTCCGGGGAGGCTTTTGGGGAGATCTGTTGTTGTGTTAGTGGGTGTTGCCGGGTACACCGAGAGAGAAGAGGAGGGGGGAGAGAGGCTTACCTTGATCACCCAGTTTAGAATCTCCTCGAAACGGTCGAGGGAGTAAAAGTAAAGGGACTGGAACATGCCCGTCAAGGGGCGAGTGCGGAGGTGGAAGCGGGTGACGATGGCAGGAAAGCCTGTTGCGAGTTGTTAGCCAAGGTATCGTGTCTCTCCTCCGGTGATTCGGAGGAAGACGATGGGGAACCGGAAGTCACATACCCGGTCCGGCGCCGCGCGCGGCCCAAAAGAGGTCGGCGTTCTCCGTCTCAGAGCACCGGAGCTCCCGTCCATCGGCCGTGACAACCTCAATGGCGACGATATTCTCACACGCCCAGCCCCAGTTCTGTCTTTTGGTCAGTTTCTCCCTTCTCAAGACTTCGGCTTCTGAGACCGAGTATACTCACCTTACAATTCCACCCCATACCACCCTGCAACAAAAACCCGCCGAGCCCAACATCAGGACAATGACCACCAGGGAAAAACCTCCCCATCCCCTCAATACTATCATCCCCAGGCCCGCCAATCTGCCCGGCCAAGAAACCATTCACCTCCCTCCCCGTCCTCGCCGGCGCAACACTCACAACCCCCGTCCTGGAATCATACGCGATCCCATCCTCGTTGCCGCTCCCGGCCACGCCTTTGCCCATACTCCCCAGATCAATCAGCAGCGCCTCATCGCGAACAGACCACGCGGCCCACGAGTGGCCCCCCGAGCGGACGCTCACGCGCCATCCCTTTTCGTTTGCGATTTTCACGGCCTCGACAACGTGGGCTTTGCGCGTGGCGGTGACGACGGCGGCCGGGCGCCGGGAAAAGTCGCGGCGGGCGTTGAAGACGCGGCCCCAGACTGCGGTGGAGTATTCCGAGAAGGGGGTGTCTTCTGCGTAGAGGATGGGTAACGGCGTGGCGGCCGGGGATGGTGAGGTAGATTGCTGCTGCTGTTCCGCCTGCATCTTTGCGAGTCGAGGGATTCTCATTGAGTCGACTTTTCGGGGGGGACAAGGCAGGATCTGCGGGTTGGTGGTGTTATAAGAGTCGTCTAGGACGGATAGATCGCGGGGGAGCTGAATTCAGATAGGATCGGGTGTTTCCGTCCTAGGTGAAAGAATGATGGCGTCTTGCTCTAATTTCCGTCCCGTCTTGGTTCTCTTCGATCAAGATCTCTTTTCTTTGCTGGATTCCCCCCTTCTGTTGCTCTACCAGTCAGGTAGGTATCGTCACGGCTTGAAGCTTGTGATATTGAGACAACGGATCGGCCCTTGGTATTCCCGGGAAATCTGGAGCTGAATCCGGTTTCGCGGGCGCGGGTTGCCTGACAAAGACTCAAAGGGCCAAGCAAGAAGAAGGCGTCGAGTCTAATATATGCAAGCTGAGCTTTGGCGGGCGTAGATATGTGGGCTTATGTAGTAGGCTTGAATGTAGGAAGCCGTACTCTGTGTATCGTCCTTTCGTCTCGATGGGATTTGGTTTGAACTCGTAGTGGGAGCAGCAATGTAGGTAAAAACAACCTTTCAGCTGGAGCAAACAGCGCGGCGCTTCAAAAGCCCTAAATACTGTCCACCGTCTGCCCCTCCTATGTGGCCTTCCGAGAGCTGCTTGTTTATCTCGCTCTCCCAAGTCGGGGATTTCTGCGATTTCGCAAGCCCGCTGGCCCAGCTCTTTCACGTTTGTACGCTAGTCGTTATCAAATCAAACGAGGTGTTACGAGCAGCTTGGATAAGCCTGCCAGTCTGCGTAACACTCGCAGGCTTCGCACGCCTCGCTTGCGCTTGCTAGTAGGAATGGGGCCCTGTCTAGACCTGTGCCGACTGGAGCTCCAAGCTGGGGGTTCGGCACCGTGTGCTGACTCTCTCTGTAGTGTGCGGCTGGTGCAGAATCCAGATTGAGATAGTATTGTTCGGCGGAATAGAGAAATGCGGTCTTGTTTTGTTTGCTATCAAAGCAAGCTTAAGCCGGATAAGCTTCCGAAAAGGTCCCAAGGGGAATAGAACAGCAGAAGAGACCCCCCAAGAGAGAGATCTTCTCCCGCTAACAATCCTTTAGAATGCAAGAATCGAACGACAATTGCCTTTCGGTAGATGAGAAATGTGGATAACAAAAAAAGTACGAGGTCAAAGCAGAAGAGGATCCATTGCGATATTTCCAACGGCTACTCTGAGAGATTCCAACGGCAATTCCGTGTTTAATAAGAAAACAGGACAAGTTTGTAGTTTCATCGCGTCTTGGAACGAAGTCACCTTACTCTCACAGTCTCACTCATTCTCAATGGTAGAAGAGGGGAGTAAGAGAGGCAGAAAATCCACCCATCCACCATCAGCTAATCCTCCACCCGGCGCTGCGCGTCCACCCCTCCCTCCCCCACTGTCCCGCACAAATCCCGTGCAGGTGATTGGGCAGATGCGATTCATGTCTCTGCAGCAATTGGAGTGTTTCTGCGTCAAAAGAATGCCGTACTGTGTGGCATGCCAATGTTGTTGTGTGTTACAGTTGTTTTCTGTGCCGCCCGCCCGCCCGCCCGCATCCCGTGAAACCAAACAGCTTCTTAGGTATCCGTAGATCGGAAGGCGGGGAGACAGAGAGAGACAGAAGGCAAAAAAGATCTGACGAATGATGGGGTCCATGACAGTAAGGAAAGTGCTTTACTCAGCGGCGAAAAGCATTTGACGTAGGTATTCATGGTATCCCACCTCCACCCGGGCCCAGGCCGCTGACGAAAGCCTCCGTGGCGCATCACCACATTCCAGCTCACCTCACCTCACCTCACCTCATCACCAAGAACCACAACCTTGTACCTCGGTCCGTCCTCAAGAAAGAGTCAAGACAAGAAAGAAGACCACCAAAGAAAACCAAAAAGGGGACCACAGCAATCTTGAACATTACGGATACGTACGGCGACTAACCAAGTCCAACCTTAGCCCCCTCTTCCACGAGCCGCGTCAACCATAAAAACCACTAGACTAGTATAGCTGTTAGCATGGGACCCTAAGCCGGCCCGCGGGAGACCGGAGCAGGCACGCGGCACTACCCATTTCGTAGCTTCTTCGTAGTTTTCGTAACACTGCCACCACGGCCACCTCGTGGCTTTGTCTAGACATGGTTACTTACAAAGTTATGAACTCATGGCAGAGCCTGGGCCCTAGAATCTAGGAACCTGGATTGTGGGAAAAATCGGATCAGGAACCCGGACCCTCTCGACTCAGTTCGGGGGTTCATGGTGCCCATTCTAATTAACACGAGGCAGTACGGATAGCGCTTCCGCAAGTTCGTCAGCCACGCATGGTATGATGGCCGACGGCAACATCATCACCAGTCGCGGCAACTCAATTTCAAACACAAAAAAGTTACAACGCTGGCGATAGAGACCCTCGGACTCGGGAAAGTTGGAATCTGGCAAAATTGGGCATGCGAGAGGAAAAAGGGGGTATCGTCCATTGCTACCTCGTCCCGTCACACGCAAATTCCTCCAAATAATTACACACACACACACACACACACACACACACACACTCAACCACATGTCAAACTACTTTGACACGTTACACAGCACAGCATCAGCACCGACAGCACGACAACAGTCGGCTCTCTCTCTTGCCTTTCTCTCTATCCATCTCCTGCAAATCAATTTGAGTACCAGTACGCAAAACAAGCACTTCTCTTCCCTTTCCGTTGTCAGCGCGCCTGTAGTCGAGCAAGTGCAATACTTGTGCCACTTCTACTAGACCCGCCAAACAACGTCAAAACCCCCGTGCTGTGTATTAAAACAAGAAACCTCGGTCCCGACCAGGCGGGAGGGCGAGGAGAAGCGGCCAACGAGCCTTGCGTTGCGTTGTGTTGTGGGAGCCGTCAGGCTGGCGACGAGCCTGCTAGCCGAACCAGACATCTTTGCGTTTACTTTTTGTTCTGTCCTTAAGTTGTCCGTCTTCCTTGGAAAAAGCGTGCTGGGCAGTATCTAGTTGTTATTGTTGTTGAGGTGAGGTGATTGCTGGAAATCCGTAATGGACTCCAGCATGGCCAGGTTCTTCTCCTGCATGTCACGGTCCATGTTGTGGATTTGGTTCGCGTTGACTCTAGCTCGTTGTAGCTGTGGATTTCAAGTTAGCGTTCTTGTCCCGTCTCTCCAGACAAAGGGAGCATCAAGCAGGGCGTTCGCACCACAGCTAGTGCCTCGGA